TGACGACGTTTCGGTCTGAATTGGATCATTAACTAGTTACAAGTCGGACCGAAACGTGGTCATCAGTTTGTCTGCTATGTGCGGGATGTGTATTCAGGTCCTTACACAAGAAATCCGGACTGTAATCATCTATTTTTAATTTCATATTTAAAATTACATGAGACGAGGTATGTTCGTTGGTAGGTTGAAAACTTATTAACAATGCCCCTGGTGTCTCGTTTTCGTTAATTTATAGCATAAACTTTGCTAAGTTTAGTGTGGTTGTAGCACAGACTATCATCTAGCGACCTTGTTGACGAGTCTGTTCTTGTCACTCCTGTCACTTCCACTGATTATCATCCATGTCGTCATCAGTGTATTCTCTGATTCTTCGCTCATTCACTGATGCAAGCTTAATCTTCGTTAGTCTCTTCAGATCCAATCTTCATTATTTCTCTCTTCAGATCCAATCTTCATTATTTCTCTCTTCAGATCCAATCTTCATTATTTCTCTCTTCAGATCCAATCTTCATTATTTCTCTCTTCAGAATCTAAAAAGTGATGAGCTTTTCTATGCATTCCTTCAGGATCCAGGGTGTTAGAAGTTCTTCCAAACATTCCTTCAAGATCCAGGGAGGGAGTTCTTCCATACATTCCTTTAAGATCCATAGAGAGAGTTCTTCCATACATTTCTTCAAGATCCAAGGCGTGAGAAGTCCTTTCATACATTCCTTTGTGATCTTAGGATTGATATCACCAGGTTCTACCGCTGTGTTTTTTTTCTGCATAGAGTTGTATCAAGTCATAAACTTACTCTAATAAAGCTCTACACAGAGTCAGACACTGTCACAACCAAAGCTTGTTCTACAACTTATGACAATAAATATGTTGGTACAAGATAAATCACTGATGGTGTAGGTTAAGCAACAAAAGTCTCTTGCAAGCCGAGCTGCACAAGCTGTTCGCTCACCTGTCCTCATATATATGATCGTAACCTTAATTATCCGCATTCAAAATTAGTGAAGCTTTGTTCCTTAATGTTTAGTCCAGCTGTCAGTGTCATGCATATACTTTGAATCTTAATGAGGTAGTTATGTCTGGGTCGATGGGCGATCTGGGAAAGGCATCCTTGTATCTAATAAGCCCATCCCCCTCAAATTCAATTTCTTTATATGCTATACAAAGATAATGTAGTTTACATGTAATACAACATTATTAGGCACAACAAGAAAGCCACTAGTATGCAATTGATCCGAGAAAGGCATCCCCGTATCTCATAAACCCAGCCCCCTCTACCTTAAGTATAAGTGCGGCATAAATTTCTAAAGCAGATAAATACCATCATTGAAGACTGTAAGTTAATTATAAGAAGCGTTCACAAGTCATAGCTTAGCAACTAATATCTCAATTTCTCCAATAAAAATTGAAAAATTGGCTCCTACGTAGCCTCTCCCCCCTCCCCCTCCCCCTCCCCCCTCCCCCCCCAGGATCCAACCTTCCACTACGACACATCAACTTTGAAAGCTGCACGTCTCTTCGAAGATACAGACCAAAAAGTACTTGTACTTTAAAAATCTAAAGCTGCTAAGGAGTTGTATTATAAGTTATCTGCTTATAAGGTTTGAAGCCAGTCGAAAGAGGCATGTACAAATTATAAACGTGAAAATCGGTATTTTAATGACCAGGCTGTAACGCTCCAGTATCCACAATCACACTTTTGTCACTGGCATATTATAACTCTCCTACACAGCATGACGCATTAATGCTGAGGCATGGAGACCATGATTGTAACTGACCCTTGTAATTACCAATGATTGTAACTGACCCTTGTAATTACCAATGATTGTAACTGACCCTTGTAATTACCAATGATTGTAACTGACCCTTGTAATTACCAATGATTGTAACTGACCCTTGTAATTACCAATGATTGTAACTGACCCTTGTAATTACCAATGATTGTAACTGACCCTTGTAATTACCAATGATTGTAACTGACCCTTGTAATTACCAATGATTGTAATGACCTGACTCTTGTAATTACTAATGACCGTAATTCATGAGACGCTTATAATTATTAATGATTGTAATGCACTTGACGGCTTTAATTTCGAATGATTTTTCTTTACACTAAAAGTCGTAAATTAAAGAAGTACACAACTCATAGACAAAAAACTTCATAGTTGAAATTAATAAGCTGTATTCACCTAGCTGAGTTAAAAGCTACAGCTCCTGGTCCACTCTCTTGACAAGCTTCACCTCTTTGGGAGCTCTCTTGTTGCAGCACTTGTACTGGTTAAAGACAGAGAGAGAGGTTAATGTGACAGATCACACTGGCAAGCCACATCCTGTCTGTCTCCTTGAGGCGTGGTTAATGTGACAGATCACACTGGCAAGCCACATCCTGTCTGACTCCTTGACGCGTGGTTAATGTGACAGATCACACTGGCAAGCCACATCCTGTCTGTCTCCTTGACGCGTGGTTAATGTGACAGATCACACTGGCAAGCCACATCCTGTCTGTCTCCTTGAGGCGTGGTTAATGTGACAGATCACACTGGCAAGCCACATCCTGTCTGTCTCCTTGAGGCGTGGTTAATGTGACAGATCACACTGGCAAGCCACATCCTGTCTGTCTCCTTGAGGCGTGGTTAATGTGACAGATCACACTGGCAAGCCACATCTTGTCTGTCTCCTTGAGGCGTGGTTAATGTGACAGATCACACTGGCAAGCCACATCCTGTCTGTCTCCTTGACGCGTGCACAACACAAGTGGTGATTCCTTTAAGGAAACTATCCAACTGCCAGACCATGTTAACATTAAACTGGAATCTTAAACATGAAATTCTCATTAACCCAGGCAGGTTCAGACTATGGCTGAGCAAGGAGGGCATCTCCTTGCTGCAGTGGGTGTAGACAAGTGTGACTTAATGTATGCCTTCTTCACGGAGCTCCACTGCCAGTAGTTACTCCAGTATTAAAAATAAAACTCACAATAGCTAATTCACTGAATGATGTAGCCTCTGACGATGATTATACCGAAGAACCTAAAGCTCCACCTTCTAACAGATAACCTCTTCCACAGAATATTTGCATATTCAGATGGCTCATTTTTGGCTATATATGTATGTATATATGTATATATATATATATATATATATATAATATATATATATATATATATATATATATATATATATATATATATATATATGGGGATATAGTTTTGGAGTGGTTGGTGCAATTGTTTAATAAATGTATGGAAGAGGGTAAGGTACCTAGGGATTGGCAGAGAGCATGCATAGTTCCTTTGTATAAAGGCAAAGGGGATAAAAGAGAGTGCAAAAATTATAGGGGGATAAGTCTGTTGAGTGTACCTGGTAAAGTGTATGGTAGAGTTATAATTGAAAGAATTAAGAGTAAGACGGAGAATAGGATAGCAGATGAACAAGGAGGCTTTAGGAAAGGTAGGGGGTGTGTGGACCAGGTGTTTACAGTGAAACATATAAGTGAACAGTATTTAGATAAGGCTAAAGAGGTCTTTGTGGCATTTATGGATTTGGAAAAGGCGTATGACAGGGTGGATAGGGGGGCAATGTGGCAGATGTTGCAAGTGTATGGTGTAGGAGGTAGGTTACTGAAAGCAGTGAAGAGTTTTTACGAGGATAGTGAGGCTCAAGTTAGAGTATGTAGGAAAGAGGGAAATTTTTTCCCAGTAAAAGTAGGCCTTAGACAAGGATGTGTGATGTCACCGTGGTTGTTTAATATATTTATAGATGGGGTTGTAAGAGAAGTAAATGCGAGGGTCTTGGCAAGAGGCGTGGAGTTAAAAGATAAAGAATCACACACAAAGTGGGAGTTGTCACAGCTGCTCTTTGCTGATGACACTGTGCTCTTGGGAGATTCTGAAGAGAAGTTGCAGAGATTGGTGGATGAATTTGGTAGGGTGTGCAAAAGAAGAAAATTAAAGGTGAATACAGGAAAGAGTAAGGTTATGAGGATAACAAAAAGATTAGGTGATGAAAGATTGAATATCAGATTGGAGGGAGAGAGTATGGAGGAGGTGAACGTATTCAGATATTTGGGAGTGGACGTGTCAGCGGATGGGTCTATGAAAGATGAGGTGAATCATAGAATTGATGAGGGAAAAAGAGTGAGTGGTGCACTTAGGAGTCTGTGGAGACAAAGAACTTTGTCCTTGGAGGCAAAAGGGGAATGTATGAGAGTATAGTTTTACCAACGCTCTTATATGGGTGTGAAGCGTGGGTGATGAATGTTGCAGCGAGGAGAAGGCTGGAGGCAGTGGAGATGTCATGTCTGAGGGCAATGTGTGGTGTGAATATAATGCAGAGAATTCGTAGTTTGGAAGTTAGGAGGAGGTGCGGGATTACCAAAACTGTTGTCCAGAGGGCTGAGGAAGGGTTGTTGAGGTGGTTCGGACATGTAGAGAGAATGGAGCGAAACAGAATGACTTCAAGAGTGTATCAGTCTGTAGTGGAAGGAAGGCGGGGTAGGGGTCGGCCTAGGAAGGGTTGGAGGGAGGGGGTAAAGGAGGTTTTGTGTGCGAGGGGCTTGGACTTCCAGCAGGCATGCTTGAGCGTGTTTGATAGGAGTGAATGGAGACAAATGGTTTTTAATACTTGACGTGCTGTTGGAGTGTGAGCAAAGTAACATTTATGAAGGGATTCAGGGAAACCGGCAGGCCGGACTTGAGTCCTGGAGATGGGAAGTACAGTGCCTGCACTCTGAAGGAGGGGTGTTAATGTTGCAGTTTAAAAACTGTAGTGTAAAGCACCCTTCTGGCAAGACAGTGATGGAGTGAATGATGGTGAAAGTTTTTCTTTTTCGGGCCACCCTGCCTTGGTGGGAATCGGCCGGTGTGATAAAAAAAAAAAAAATATATATATATAATTATTTTCTTTTTCAAAACATAAGAACACCAAATAATGTATGAGAAGGTAACACAGAAAACAATAGATGGTTCATATTGTAGGAGGTGGTGAGTAGAGGTAGCAACCTACCATAGCTCGCATGTTGAGTGCTGGAGGTTGGTTACGCACGTGACCCATAGATACCTTCTGGCGCAGCGAGTTGTGGATCTCCAAGATGGTCTCCTTATCCTGGCAGGTCAACCCTCCGGTTCCTGTACCAGAGAGAAAGAGAGAGAGAGAGAGAGAGAGAGAGAGAGATATCAACGAGGAAGACAGTAGTAATCCTCTTTCTACATCATTCAATGGCTTATAACTATGACAAACCTGCAATTCTTAAGTGGTTATATTATATATACACACACGTACACTCGACCCCTGCAAGCACATATAGAAGAGTACATACATTCACGTACACACACATATATAACACACACACTTAACACATATAACAGAGTGAAGGCAAACAAGGAAGCCTGACCGATATCATGTACATAAACATATCCTGGCGATGATACCTCTGAGGTGATACCTCTGAGTTTTAAGCTTAAAAATAGAGAGAGAGAAAAAGCAAATTGATAATAGAGTTTTGCTACTGAGTTGTTAGTTATTGAAGCTGTGTCGTTATACCTTTTTCCATAAGAGTTAAGAATAAACTTTGGTACAGTTAACATCAAGGTGCATTATTGTGGGCCAGTACACATACATTGACCTAACGTGGGCCAGTACACATACATTGACCTAACGTGGGCCAGTACATATACATTGACCTAACGTGGGCCAGTACACATACATTGACCTAACGTGGGCATACACATACATTGACCTAACGTGGGCCAGTACACATACATTGGGCACATAATGCTGTGGGCCAGTACACATACATTGACCTAACGTGGGCCAGTACACATACATTGACCTAACGTGGGCCAGTACACATACATTGACCTAACGTGGGCCAGTACACATACATTGACCTAACGTGGGCCAGTACACATACATTGACCTAACGTGGCCAGTACACATACATTGACCTAACGTGGGCCAGTACACATACATTGACCTAACGTGGGCCAGTACACATACATTGACCTAAGTGGGCCAGTACACATACATTGACCTAACGTGGGCCAGTACACATACATTGACCTAACGTGGGCCAGTACACATACATTGACCTAACGTGGGCCAGTACACATACATTGACCTAACGTGGGCCAGTACACATACATTGACCTAACGTGGGCCAGTAGACATTCCCCTGGTGATAATATGTCAGCACTGACATAGCGTAGGCCAAATAGGCCTCATTTATTGTACTTGAATTTGATATTTTTAAGACTTGAAACTCTGAAGTGCTGTCTCACTTGGCTCTCCTTATTCCTCTGAAGATGTGTTTGTAAGTACATGAAAGTACTTCTTATTCGCCATCACACACACACACACACACACACACACACACACACACACACACACATACAATACTACAATATATAATATACTATATAATAACTATATATATATATATATATATATATATATATATATATATATATATATATATATATATATATACATACATACATAAACTGTTTGAAAACTTTCATGAAAATAGTGAAATAGCAAAAGTTATTAAATATTTGCAATAACTTGAAGTTAGCAAGTCAGTGAGTGAATTATTGATATAACTGTGTTCATCTCAGTTATTCGTCCAAAATCTGTAAAAAAAAAAGTTAATACTATAAACATTTAGTGGCGCAAGTGTGAAATTTTTATATATTTAATTTAGCGACTTTGGCCAGTGAAGATGTTTTTAGTTTTATAGCAATAATAACAACAACAACAGTAATAGAAACAGAAACAGCAATAGAAACAGTTGCAACAGCATCAGCAACACCAACAACAGCAACAATAGAAGCAACAAGAGCAGCATCACCAACAACAACAGCAAGAGCAACAACAACATCATAGCAACAACAACAACAACATCGTCAGTATGACATTTCCTCCCAACAAATATTAATCTAACATTTTACACTCATTTTCATACATTTTCCTCGTTGAACATGTAAGTATACGGAGATTCTGCAATTTTCGTTCCGTAGTGATTACATCTTGGCCAAACAGTTTGTGGCGAAAACAAGTTGAGGCAAAAACCAGACTGTCAAATACTTGACAATATCTGTCATGCCAAGAGAAGTGAACGGACAGATGTATGTTCCTACATGGACGTGAAGCCATAAAAATATATATATATATATAATCTTTAGTTTCAATAAGTAGCGAGAGAAGCCGTGTGTGAGTGAGAGACAGTTACTCCTTCAGATAAATTTGGGATTGGCGATATTAATATTCACATCACGAGCACTCACTATTAAATGTATTTGCACTCTGTCTTCATAAACAATAATAAGTTCGATCAAGTGGCACTTATGATGAAGGATCAAGAATCTGCTGCCCTGGCGAGGGTCACCTCTCCTCCCAGCAACCTTCTTATTGCTCTCTCTCCTTCACAAACATCACCCCCCCAACCCTCACGGGCTTTTGTCATATAAGTTAAAATAAGATTTAGTGTGTTTTTAACCTTAATGGTTGGCCATACAGTGACCCGCTGAGTGGTGCCCAAGGTTGCATGATTGACAGGGGCAAAAAGTAACCTTTGGTGTGAAGTACTGACGTACACAGGTGACTGGTCGTCACGTTAATCTTTACTATCATATGTCATCCCCAATACTTCATATACCCTATAATATTTTCTTTAAAAATAAGATCTGCTCTGAGACCAGGTCGCTGGAGCTGTGATACCTGTGATTATCAGCATAGCTGATAATTGGAGGTATCACAGCTACACTATTCGACAGTAGTTATGAGAGCTACTGTTCGACAGTTGCTATGAGAGCTACTGTCGAACAGGAGGAAGACAGTGCTGGAGAGGAAGTGTCGAGAAGTGTTGGGTAAACTCTCGAATGTTGAGGAAGAAAAAATATATAAAGAAAGTGGGTTATGTGAAGAATAACGAAAAGTCAGAATGAAATCAATGGTGAGAGCAGGAGGCTAGCAGAGAGCAGGAGGCTAGCAGAGAGCAGGAGGCTAGCAGAGAGCAGGAGGCTAGCAGAGAGCAGGAGGCTAGCAGAGAGCAGGAGGCTAGCAGAGAGCAGGAGGCTAGCAGGGAGGAGGAGGCTAGCAGAGAGCAGGAGGCTAGCAGAGAGCAAGAGGCTAGTAAAGAGCAGGATTCTAGCAGAGAGCAGGAGGCTAGCAGAGAGCAGGAGGCTAGAAGAGAGCAGGAGGCTAGCAGAGAGCAGGAGGCTAGCAGAGAGCAGGAGGCTAGAAGAGAGCAGGAGGCTAGAAGAGAGCAGGAGGCTAGCAGAGACCAGGAGGCTAGAAGAGAGCAGGAGGCTAGCAGAGAGCAGGAGGCTAGCAGAGAGCAAGAGGCTAGAAGAGAGCAGGAGTCTAGCAGAGAGCAGGAGTCTAGCAGAGAGCAGGAGGCTAGCAGAGAGCAGTAGTCTAGCAGAGAGCAGGAGGCTAGCAGAGAGCAGGAGGCTAGCAGAGAACAGGAGGTTAGAAGAGAGCAGGAGGCTAGAAGAGAGCAGGAGGCTAACAGAGAGCAGGAGGCTAGCAGAGAGCAGGAGGCTAGCAGAGAGCAGGAGACTAGCAGAGAACAAGAGGTTAGAAGAGAGCAGGAGGCTCTGTGTAAGGAACAGTGTGGTGACTGTGTAAGGAACAGTGTGGTGACAGTGCAAGGAACAATGTGGTGACTGTGTAAGAAACAGTGTGGTGACTGTGTAAGGAACAATGTGGTGACTGTGTAAGGAACAATGTGGTGACTGTGTAAGGAACAGTGTGGTGACAGTGCAAGGAACAATGTGGTGACTGTGTAAGAAACAGTGTGGTGACTGTGTAAGGAACAGTGTGGTGACTGTGTAAGAAACAGTGTGGTGACTGTGTAAGGAACAATGTGGTGACTGTGTAAGAAACAGTGTGGTGACTGTGTAAGGAACAATGTGGTGACTGTGTAAGGAACAATGTGGTGACTGTGTAAGGAACAGTGTGGTGACTGTGTAAGGAACAATGTGGTGACTGTGTAAGGAACAGTGTGGTGACTGTGTAAGAAACAGTGTGGTGACTGTGTAAGGAACAGTGTGGTGACTGTGTAAGGAACAGTGTGGTAACTGTGTAAGGAACAGTGTGGTGACTGTGTAAGGAACAGTGTGGTAACTGTGTAAGGAACAGTGTGGTGACTGTGTAAGGAACAGTGTGGAGACTGTGTAAGGAACAGTGTGGTAACTGTGTAAGGAACAGTGTGGTGACTGTGTAAGGAACAATGTGGTGACTGTGTAAGGAACAGTGTGGTAACTGTGTAAGGAACAGTGTGGTGACTGTGTAAGGAACAGTGTGGTAACTGTGTAAGGAACAGTGTGGTAACTGTGTAAGGAACAGTGTGGTGACTGTGTAAGGAACAGTGTGGTGACTGTGTAAGGAACAGTGTGGTGGCTGTGTAAGGCACAGTGTGGTGACTGTGTAAGGAACAGTGTGGTAACTGTGTAAGGAACAGTGTGGTGACTGTGTAGGAACAGTGTGGTGACTGTGTAAGGAACAGTGTGGTGACTGTGTAGGAACAGTGTGGTGACTGTGTAAGGAACAGTGTGGTGACTGTGTAAGGAACAGTGTGGTGACTGTGTAGGAACAGTGTGGTGACTGTGTAAGGAACAGTGTGGTGACTGTGTAAGGAACAGTGTGGTGACTGTGTAGGAACAGTGTGGTGATTGTGTAAGGAACAGTGTGGTGACTGTGTAAGGAACAGTGTGGTGACTGTGTAAGGAACAGTGTGGTGACTGTGTAAGGAACAGTGTGGTGACTGTGTAGGAACAGTGTGGTGATTGTGTAAGGAACAGTGTGGTGATTGTGTAAGGAACAGTGTGGTGACTGTGTAAGGAACAGTGTGGTGACTGTGTAAGGAACAGTGTGGTGACTGTGTAAGGAACAGTGTGGTGACTGTGTAAGGAACAGTGTGTAACTGTGTAAGGAACAGTGTGGTGACTGTGTAGGAACAGTGTGGTGACTGTGTAAGGAACAGTGTGGTGACTGTGTAGGAACAGTGTGGTGACTGTGTAAGGAACAGTGTGGTGACTGTGTAAGGAACAGTGTGGTGACTGTGTAAGGAACAGTGTGGTGACTGTGTAAGGAACAGTGTGGTGACTGTGTAAGGAACAGTGTG